CTGGGGACACCTGGGGACATCTGGGACAGGTTTGGGGACACCTGGGGGGACATGGAGTCACCTTGGGGACACCTTGGGGACATCTGGGGACAGCTGGGAACACACCTGGGGACATCTTGGGGACATCTGGGATGGATCTGGGGACACCTGGGGACATCAGGGACAGATTTGGGGACACCTGGGGACATCAGGGACAAGGTTGGGGACACCTGGACAGGGTTTGGGGACACCTGGAGACACCAGAACCAGCTCTGGGGACATCATGGACATCAGGACAGGGGCTGGGGACACCTGGGGACATCAGGGGACACCTGGGATGGATTTGGGGACACCTGGGGACAGCAGGGACAGGTTTGGGGACACCTGGGGACATCTGGGGACACCTGGGATGGATTTGGGGACACCGGGACAGGGCTTGGGGACACCTGGGGCCAGCAGGACCAGGGTTTGGGGACACCTGGGGTGGATTTGGGGACACCTGGGGGCACCAGAACCAACTTTGGGGACATCGGGGACATCAGGACAGGTTCTGGGGACACCTGGGGACGTCAAGGACAAAGTTGGGGACACCTGGGACAGATCTGGGGACACCTGGGGTGGATTTGGGGACACCTGGGGGCACCAGAACCAACTTTGGGGACATCGGGGACATCAGGACAGGTTCTGGGGACACCTGGGGACGTCAAGGACAAAGTTGGGGACACCTGGGACAGATCTGGGGACACCTGGGGTGGATTTGGGGACACCTGGGGACACCTGGGACAGGTTTGGGGACACCTGGGGACATCTGGAACAAAGCTGGGGACACCTGGGGACACCTGGACAGGGTTTGGGGACACCTGGGATGGATTTGGGGACACCTGGACAGGGGTTTGGGGACACTGGGGGGGGGAGGGGCGGTGCCGTCCCCGCGCGTCCCCAGGACCCCCCAAATGTCCCCAAAAATCCCCAAAATGTCCCCAAAAACCCCCAAAATGTCCCCAAATGTCCCCAAAAGCCCCCCAAGATCCCAAAAACGTTCTCCAAAATCCCAAAAATGTCCCCAAAAATGTCCCCAAATGGCCCCAAAAAACCCCCAAAATGTCCCCAAATGTCCCCAAGATCCCTCAAATTTCTCCAAGATCCCAAAAACTCCTCCAAAATCCCAAAAATGTCCCCAAAAACGTCCCCGAAAATGTCCCCGAATGTCCCCAAATGTCCCCAAGCGTTGGGGGAGGGGGGAGAAAGGCGGCGGTGGAGGGGGCGTGGTCTGCGCGGTGACGTCACCCGGATGGGGCGGGGCTTGCCCCTGGTGACGTCACCGCTCGGCGCCATCGGCGGGAGCGGGGGTGAGAGGGGGAGGGGTCCGGGGGGGATTTTGGGGGGTCCCGGAGGGTCC